GGTCGTGTTCAGTGGTTTCAGGTGACAGCTGTCAAAGAAATGGCATACTGTGTGCACCTAAACTTAAAGCAGAATTAAAGATATAAATCTTTTGAAAATATAATTTTCTTACTCATTCTTTCAAAAACAGGAATGTATAGTCCAAAAATATGATAGAAGATTTAGATTATATGCATATATGTTTTAATGTTATGAAATAATTCTGGTAGAAAAACAACTAGGCAAAACTTAATCAGGGTCATATACCATTAGGCACATGTTTGTGCATCTCTGTAGTTAAACTGGTTGTGTATCTCATCTTAGGTGCTACAGCATGTTGAAGATTATGGCCATGTTTCACTAGATTTAGGTAAATATATTATAGCTGCAAATGAGCTATCAGCAGCAAAGTGTTTGTGAAATTGTTTCACAAACAAAGGGTAGGTACAAGCATTCATTGGAACTGTTTGGTGACTTATTTAAAAGGGCACTACCTTCTTAACTGGTGGACAAGGAGAGAAGTGGCCCCACTTGAAGTCAAGTGTACCTATTTAAACCAGCTAAAGATTCAGTTTAGTGTGTTGCATGTGAGATATGAGCATACACGGGAGCTCTCCAAATTGACAACTACTTAAATGAGAAAACACACTTTGGTAAGAACCACTCACTTGTGTCAAGAAGATAAGGTAAAATTTAATATAAACTCTGCTAAACAGTAGAGGTGTGTGAAGCAGGCAGTATTCAATTAATATTCGGATTCAGCCCGATTCAGGGGACAGTGATTCAAATTGCTGATTCAGGTCACTGTCCCAATTTGATTCAGCCGAATCTGAATCTGAAGATTTGATTCTGATTCAGAGAATCGGTGTTTCAGCCATAGACACAGCTTTCTATGTTTTTTCTACATACCACAAGGTACCAGGCATGGCTCATGAATGCTGAGATCATGGGGTGGATGGAGTGTCCCACAGGAGCATGCAGGGGAGTGCCCCACGTCCCCCGGCTCAGTGATCAGCCTGGGGGCATCTCAGGTGCCACCCCAGACCCAGGAGGCACCAGTAGCCAAGCCAGGAGGAGGAGAGAGGGTCCCCTGTGCACTCCGTGGTGGACCCAGAAGTGGGCTAGAAGTGCTTCTGGTTCACCCCCTGCGCTCCTCTGGGATGCTCCATCCACCCCACCATCTCATAGTTCATGAGTTGTGCCTGGCACCTCGAGATACTTAGAAAAAACATATAAAGTTCTGTCTATGGCCAAATCGTTGAATCTCTCCAAATCGATTCGGGGGCTTCGGATTTAGATTTGGAAATCCAGCTGCCGAATCAGGCCAAATCTCCTCCAAATCGAATCAGCAACTGGAGCTTCGCAGAGCCCTACTAAACAGCTGATATGTCTGACTCTACCTTTTAAGAATGTGTACATACTTAAATCAGTAATTAACATTCATTAAAATTCTTACCTGTTCACCAAAAATTCAGGAACAAGAAGGCAAGTGAAATTAAATTCTCCATTCCCACAGAATTTAATAGTTTGTTTGGGCACATCCAGAAGAACGCATATGCAAGGACACATATTTCTGCCACTGCTTTGTGCTCCATGGCATGCCCCTACATTTGCACTTGGTTGTGCACCAAATTGTCTTTGGTGAGGGAGAGAAGACTGGGGTCAGTATCTGTGCTGGCCCCAGAAGCCTTACCTGGGGCCTGGGGACCTCTCAGGGCAGCAATGGCACCAGGCTGGCCACACAGAGGCTGGCTGGCAACCAGAGCATGGCTCAGGATGGCCAGGCTCTGTTTCTGGCAGTGCGCGCTGCTGGCGCATGTGCTGCACCACTTATTTTTGCAGTGTTTTCCTTATCCCAGTGTCAAATTTTAGTACTCCACTGAAAATTAGCAGTGTGATGAATAGGTACACATGTGCTACCTGTGGTTTGCAGTGCCTTAAATGGCTTTGAGGTGCTGCAAACTGCACATGTGCACTTGTCTGGATGCATCCTTTGGGGGTATTGTTGAACATGATAGCTATAATCCTATGGTCATGTTAGACATCCATGAGAAACAATTGTAAAAATGTAGCCCTGTGGATAACTAAATCAGTGTGAGGGATATGAATTAGTCAGGCTTAGTTGGTCATCAGGACATCAGATGGATTATGACAGATTTTATTTTTTTCCATGAACCAGATATTTAAAAAGTAGCCCCAAAAAAGACAGATCTGTGAAAGTGTCCACAATAAAACCTCAAAAAAGATACACTCCCTACCTTGAAGAAATTACAATCTAAGTAGATGACAGAATCAAGAGGGAAGAGGAAATGGATTTACAGGGAATAGGCGTGACTAGTACAAAGAAGCACAGAATATCATCAGTAACGGAACTAGTAATAGAGTCTGGGTGTACTGGTTCTTACTTTTCTCAGAGATTTCTATCACTGTATCAGCTTTGATATCTCTGTACTTCATAGAAGTTTAGCTACTTTAAACATATATATTTTTAAATGTGTGATACAGGTCCAGGATTGTCATTCAACAAACATTATCTCAAAATGATGTGTGCCAAATATTCAACTAGAATTTAAAAATAAATAATACTTAGTTCCTGACAAAACTTGCTTACCTTCAAATGATTGACATTGTCTTTCTGCCAGCAACTTTGATTAGGCAGCAAACGTTGCCCTGTTGGTAATACTTATGTAAGGGTGCAGAGAGAAATAATTTGCTTGTGATGTCTTTTAGAAAAACAACTGTTTATGCCTTTACTGCTTCTCACCACCCCGTCATGTCTGCCTCCTTTTCGTTTAATTCACACAGTGTTCCCTTTAAAACAAAAGTCACTGTTTATTGTTTTTCACAATCTTTTGTGCATCGTGATTGGGGCCTAACTGCATTCTCCTGTATCTTTCCCCCTTGCCTTTACAATCTCACAAAAGTTTAAGAGGCTTATCCCAACATTTATGATCACTGGCCATGAATAATCATCAATTATAATATTCATTTTGTTCCATATTCCTTGGACTACAAATCCCTCATGCAACATGCTATTTACGCAGGTCTCCATTTTTCCCATGGAACAGTTCTGTCCTGGCCCATCTGCAATCCTGAACTTCCCTTACATTACTACAGGCAAATAGTGCAATAGCTTATGTGAAAGAAAAGGACTAAGAAAAGTATGTAGTAGTAGCCATTTTTAATGTGATTTGGCAGAAACAAGGAAAAGAAGCAAGCATATCTTCTTCTGCTGGACCAGGCCTTGAAAGGCACTTTCACTTTTCTCAATGGAATGTCAGAGTTTGCCATAAGTTTCTGAAATGAATGTTTGCTCTAATTGTACCATATCGAGTCTTACTTTCAAATTACTGCAGGATTAACTTGCCTACTCTTATTTCTAGTTGAGCATTCTCTGTTGGTTTATTCACACATTTGTCTGAATCTTTGTATAAGTGATCCTGGCTGCTTGTCAACCAGTCTGTTCTTTAGAGTAACATACACATTTAACCCTTTGAAACAGAACGAAAGGGTGGCACTGTATGAAAACTGTCACTCAGTTTTCCTAGGGATAATATGGTAGTTACCCAAATTAAAAACACAAAACAAAACACACCAAACACCAGCCTATTACTACTTGTAATCTAACCTTTAAATAACTCTTAAATCAACACTTGCACTAGAAAATAAGGACAGAACTGTGGATCTCCGAGCTGGAAGCTGTCGAAGTGCTACTGTGTAAACCATTAAACCTGCAAAACTATCTTCTCTCAGAGACGCAAGCTTAGCAGAATTAGGTTTTTTTTCACGTAGTTGGGAAGCAAACATGTTTTGTATGCTTACTTGACCTTGTGTTTCATTTAAATTTTAAAAGAAAAAGATATTATAATGTAAGAGAAATAAGCAAGTAGTAAGTACATTATTTTTATTTATGCAATATTTGGCATGTGCATTAAAAAAAAAAAAAAAAAAAAAACCACACACAGAAAGTTGCTAAAATATATTCATACGAAAGAGATGGTATGATTTAAGGATGGAATTACCCTTACCGTATTCATCATTGCTACTCCAATAATGACGTTGTTAGGTGAACTGTATAATTAAAAAAAAAAGGGTTTGGATTGGCCAGAATGTAGATAGGATGATTCATTTTTAAACTTTTTTTCTTTCTTCTAAATTTGGAAAGAATGAAGACGAAAATTTTGTTCGGGTTTTTCTTTGGGAAAACATTTGGGGGGTGAGGGGGGCGGGGAATTATACATTTTGGAATGGGACCTGATTATATAACCAGTCCTGCAGTACTTCTTGTCTATTGTAAAGAAAAATGCCTCTTTACCTCAGGGTGCTATCTTAAAATGTTATGGCCTTGCAGACTCTGCCATCCTTTGTTAAAAGCTGTCTTCTTCAGAAAAGAATCATTTGCTTTGTCCCATTTGTCCACAGCTTCTCCAGTGCTCTCCCTCTGTGGACTATTTGCAAAAAAATATCCTCTTAATAGATTTTTTCCCCCTAACCAACTTGCCATACATCATTGTCTGTCTTTCTCTGGGCCTTCAGGGAGTAACAAAAAGTATGTCAAGATTTTTGCATCTCTCAGTTTGAGATCTATTGGAGTCATCATTATTTGCTGTCAAAGCTGTGGACAAATGCTGTGTATAGTGATGATATTCAGTATCTTGTAGATGGTGCCATTATTCCATATTGAAACCACCAACATCCTATTAATCAGGTCACATGACAAAACAGATTTGGTCATTGGATCAGTCACATTTTTGTTCATAAACCTTTTTTTGGAGAGAGTGATATGGTTAATGGAAATATAGACTATTCATTTTTTCTGTAACTGTCCACCTGTGATTATGAAATGTAGATAGAATTTCAAAAAAATATCAATTATGCGCAGATCTAAGGTGTTCTGGTTGTAAATCAATATTTAGTTTAGGTATATATCATGTATTTGACAGTTACTACCAGAGACTGTTTAATATCAACTGTTTTGTAATAGATCCATTAAACTCAGACTGTATGTTCACTCTTGGGAGAACTGTGCATTTATTTATCTTTGCTATTTACTCACTTTCTACCCTGTTGGGAATTTAGTGCAATATAAATTTAAAGAGAGCTGTCTATAGACAATCAGAAACTTAGCTGATGAGGTTGGGATGCTGTAGGCCCTGCTCTGCAGTATGTCCATTGTACAGGAAGAAAACAGAAAGAGTTCACCGGTTGTATTTCAGAATGGGATGGGTAGATCATTTTTAGAATTGCAGCGAACCATGTTCATGCATGTTTTTAGCCCAAATCTTTTTCATTGTTTTCAATCAAAGTTAATTGTCTTCCATAAGTTCCTCAGTGTTGATTCCTGGTTCTTCCCCTAAAATAGAAGACAAGTCTTTTTCCTCTCATGTACTAATATGCCAGGTCTGTTGATTTTTAACAAGATGTACTCTTAACACTACTGCTCCTAAGGGAGATTCATCCAGATCCAAATTTCATGCTTAAGACTTATGTCCAGTAGATGAAATAACTAGAAGCTTATTCAGGGTCATTTTTTTTCTCTTCATTGCCATGGTAGGTACTAGTCAGTTAAAGGAAATAAAGGAAAGAGACCCAACAAGTGAGAGGTCTGATAACAGAAATTAACATTTAACTCATCAAGAAAAATGTATGAGAGAATAATCCAGTATCAAAATATCAGAAACATATTCAGGGGCAACAACAATAGACATTACATCTTTAAGCATACATGTAATTCCTGTTAAATCTGCTTAAATATTTTAACTTGAGAACAAAATAGTGAATAGGGAAAACATAGAAAACAAGTTTTTATTTTCAAAAGGCTTCTAAAGGAATCACTGAGAGAGCGTTTTAAGAACAAGGATGTTTCTCTAGATTTAGCTTTCATTCACTTTATTTTGTTAGCCTTCTGTCTGTCAAACTAAAGGCCATCATTCCTCTCGTGTGTCCTTGTGACAAGGTATTTAGCAGAATTCACAGCTTTGTTGGAATCTGACATGGCTGCAATGTGGGAGCTTCTGCTATTGGTACCTGCTGAACTCTCAACTTTTGGATTTCTAGCTGCTCGCCCCAAGTGTCTACGCCGCTGTCTAAGGGCCTCTAATATCACAATTTATCTCCCTAAATAAGTGCTTGTAGATAGTGATCAAGCCATCTCTTAACATTGGATGAAGTATCTAAATCAGCAACATATGGCCTGCAGAACCACTTGATCTGGCCTGTGGAGCTGGAAGACTTTGCATTTGCCCTTTCTTGTGCTGGGGCTGAGCAGCAAGAAAACACTGAGGGTGGACAGCTAGAAGCTGCATCCATGTTGCTACCACTTCTGCCTTCTCCCTCCCCCACCTGGCTGCAGCGCAGGTACAACTTCCAGCCAGTGAGGAACTGAGCCAGGGCTGGGAAGCTGTGTCTGTGCTTCAGGCAGAAGGGAAAGAATTAGAAATGGTACAAATGCAGCTTCCAACTTCCTAGCTCAGTTTAGTTTCCTACCAGTTGGAAGCTGTGCCTGAGCTGCAGCCAGGGTCCAGGGGACAAAGGCATGGACACAGCTCCGAGCTGCTGACATGTCACCGAAGACACCCATCCCATACCAGGCTGGGGCCGGGTTGTTCCAGCTTGCAGCTTACAAAGGTTGCTGGCCTCTGATCTATATGGACAATCTTTATTCTTTCATTGTATGAATGGTTTGCTAAACCTTGAATCATTCTTTCAACTATATCTTCTCTTCCAGATCTGCAATATAATTTTTAAGGTGTGGTGGAAAAAATGGAATATATTAATGTCATTATGGTATTGTTAATTCCATATGCAGAGGTAATACCTCCCCCCTGATTTCTACTTAGTCTTCCCCTACTTGTACACTCAGGGTCATGTGAGCTCCATATAACAATGAAAGCTCATGTTTAGTCATTTGTCCACACCGACCTATAAATCCTTTTCAGAGTCACTTTCCCCTTCTGCTGCCAAAGATGCAGTCTCATCTCCTGTAAAGGTGACACTCATTCTATACTCGTGCTATTTATATGGCCTTGTCTTGGTTCTATAAGCTCATGTGCAGATGAAGTCCCTTTTACTATGTTATTGCTTTAAAAACTTACCTTCCCTTGTCATTATTTACCACTCCACTGAATTTTTTTTTCTTTCTTTTTTTGTTTTGTTTTGTTGTTTGTTTTTTTTTTGGGGGGGGGGGGGTTGTTTTCTGCAGAATGTATTGGGAATGATTTTATTTTTGTTTCCAGGTAATTGATAAAGATATTGAATAGCATCAGGATGGAAGCACTTCACTAGAAGCAAGCTCTGTGCTTGTTTCCTTGTTTATGAATACTTTTTTTAGTATTAGAGTAAATAAATTAACCTTGCCATGGATTAAATAGATTTAACTAATTAAATAGATTATCCTTGCTATGGATTAAAAAGGTTCAGAGGAAAAGGACGCTGCCCGTAACATGATTTTTACTTCTCTATTTAACAATCAAATATACTGATTATGAGTGTTTTAGTGAAATCTAAGACAAAAAGACATCATATGTTCTGTATATGTGAAAAGTAAGGCATCAGCATTATTTACATGCTGAAACCAGGAAATTTGAGATAAACAGAGAGGATAATAATGATTTTCCCATTATAGTACCCACCTCAGGTCAATAACCTCACTTTTCTCTGGTCAATAAAATTATTAAAACATGCTAAATTCAACCTACTTATTCTCCATATGGTAGGAAGGAAGAGAGGCCTTTGTTACATACTTTAGAAATGGAGACTAATTAATATAATAATTTTAAATTATATTAAAATTGATAGTTGAACTAATCATTTATTTGTCCATTAATTAAGTAATGTACATAGGATTGTAAATGTGCTTACTATGTTGCTGAAAGTATAATGATGCCCATATTGCAACAATCCTACAATCTGCATTACAGTCTAAATTAGCAATAATTTTTCCTTTCTCCATCAAAAATGTTACAGAAACCAAGGACTATATATAATTAGATTGCTCTTAAGTGATTACTGGAAGTATGCATACTTCTATTTCCTGTTTAATCTCTGGTTTAAAAAAATGTTAGTTTACTAGAACCTTATCAATTAACACATACAGGTCAAGGATAAATAAGGTAAATTGTAAGCTCTTTGCTAAACTTTCCATTGCATATGTATCAGTGCCTTAAGCTAACTCATCTAATTATAAAAGAAATACCTATAGGCATTTTGACCTAAAATATGTGTTGCTTAACAGGAACTAAGAAATGTGTTTTATAAGAAGAAATACTAGAGATGCTATTGCTAATTTACTGACAGGAAATAAGTGTGAAACCAAATGTATTCCTAGTAGAACTATTATAAATTACCTAAATCAATGTTATTTGCCAATATTTCTACTCAGTCATGGCCAACCAGTAAGGAATTCCTTTTCAGTTAATGACACTCACTATTGCACAACTATTCAGAATTAACTTGAAAGACATAAGGGAAAGGAATTATAAATATAGCTTAGCTTTTCAGAAGACTTTTGGGGGGGGATGTTTTTGATAAAAAATATTTAGTAACAGTAAAATACTTCACAAATTCATCTCATTGCAACAAAAGGTTCATGACGGCAGAAAATATGAGGAATTTGCAACATTTCAAACATTTCATGTTGACATTTTTGCAAGGAGACATTTTTGTTTTGGTCTTTTTGACTAAAAAGAAACTAGAAATGTTTGAATCTGAAGTGCAAGTTTCATTTTTGGTAGCACTAGTTCATTATTTCAATATTTCCTTTTGATTTGCTGAAAAGTTTGGGGAAAAAATCACTTCAGATCCACCAGAAATGAAATATCTAGATTTTGTTGTTGTTGCTTTTTTCTTTTTGGAATTGCCAGTGGATGGAAAAATCAGTTTTTCACAGAGCTATATATAAAAACTAATTAACAAAAACAATGATAGCAAAATTTGGGGGAGTTAGGAAGAAACTATTCTTCAAGGCACCTTGTTTCTGAAGCACACAAGATGTTACATTAAAGATACAGAAACTGCTGTCCTTGTACCATGTCCTACCTCCTGCTCCAGAGTCTCAACTGTTATAACTTCATTGTGTCCCATGGAAGTCAAAGCTTCAGCTGAATTTCTGCCCCAATGACTTTACTTAATCTGAAAAGGTTACACCAAGACTTTTATTTGAATAAAATTTGTATTCACACTCCCTAAAAGAAGTAGGCATGAGAAGTTCAGTTATCTGCTTGATTGTGCCATGAGGCTCCATTGAGCTGCTTTATCTGTTCTACAAATGGGAACACCTTGAATGGCTCTTTACTGCTGAGGTTTCTGGAGCATGGAAAAAAGAAAAGTGTTCCCCATCATCTGAAGAGTCAGCACCATGTAGCCATTCTTTAATTACAAAACCACCCAAATAAATAAACAAACTACAAACACCACACCTGTAAAAGGAGGAGGGATATGAATATACATACAGGGACATATGAAAAAGCTTTAAGAGGTGTTATTGATCATAATATCGGGTAGCTAGTCTCTGCATCAAATTACCTTGGCTGAGCTAACCTCTAAAAGCTGTTATCATATTGAGTTCTCATCAGTCTCTGTCAGCCCTCTCTCATCTCATTAAGGTATTGGCTGAAAGCTGGCAATGAGAAAAGAGTGCTGCACTGCAGTACAAGATTCCTTTGTACAACCACGTTGCAAGCTGTTTGCTAAGCTAAAGTGAGCTCTTCTTGTGCTCTTATGTTTTTAGATAAGCAGTGGTCTTTGCAAAATGCAAATAAATAGGACCTAGGAGAGATCAAACCACACTGTGAATCTGACGGGCTCTAGAAATTACTAAGGCTGGAAAAAAAACAACAAACAATTGCTGTTAAATGCACACTGTCTTCTAAGTTCAGCAACTATTGGCTGAAAGCACAGCTGACCTCATGGTTGAGAATTTTTGTGGATGGGCAAAAGCCAGCTAATTAGAAATAGCTTGTTTTAAATAAGTAACATATCTCTTTGTGTATAATGCGAGTAATTAGACCAGGAAAGATTTTTCAATTAAAACTCAATTGTTAGTCACAGCCTCACAACTGTTGGCCTCTTGCCTACAAAACTATTACTATCTGCAGTTTTACACTCCTGTATAAGCCCTGTGAGGCACAGCGATATGCAATTAAGGCAAAGCCTTGAATGTAAAATATAGCACACATTTGCTAATAAAGTATCTTGGATGTATAGTTTAGCAAATTAGAAAAACTAAAGATGTTCTGATATTACCCACTGGTCATCAAATACTTGCCGACTGCATGTTTTTTAATCAGAATGAATAAACCATTTCGCTCTCTGTTCCAGCACTTAGAACTCACCCCTGCTGTCTTCATGCAAGTAAAACTCTTGATTGATTTCACTGGGAGTTAGGCACATGTAAAGACTGTGGATCAGGTAATTATAATAAGTGTGATAGATAACAGTAACTACAGTTTCATATTGCATTAAGGTGAATGGAAAGATGCCTGTTGTCAATTTTTTAAACTTACCAGGAATCAACTGTACCTCATTTTCTTGTATGTAAATCAACACCTGTGGCTTGCAGCCATTCCCAGAACTCCTTATCTTGGTGGCTGAATACTGAACTGTCCAGCTGTCATTGCCTACATGGCCTTTTTGCCCTACATCTGGCTTTTCTTCTCTTCCATCATACAATTTGTGCATCCTGATCCAGCTTCGAGCCTGTGATGTTGCCTTTGATTATTCCTCTGATGACACCTGTCAAGATTATAACAGGGAGCCCAAGATTTTTAAAGGTTTTGTTCATTTGTTTTTTAATTATTTTGTTTTAGGGATGGGAAAGAGGGATTATTTATCATTAAAAATGGGCATTTATACAACCATTATGCAACTCTATGTTAGTCTCAAGTTCTCAAGGCAGGGGATGTTTAGTTGGGAGGGCTGTAGAATTTGGTTCCTCTTTTGTATCTAATATCTCACAGAAGCAGTCAGATACTGCATATGGTCTATTTATTGCATTCTCATGGCCATAGTACAAGTTACCTTAAAAACATAAAGGCATTTAAAACATGAGCAGCCATTAGTCAAGTGGTGTTAAACTGCCATCAGTGCCCTCTAAACATTTTAGAGACAAGCTACTCAAAAGAAAGTTTATCTTGGAAACATTTTATCCATGCTATTCCAAGGTATTATTAGCACAAGCAGTGGAGGTGAAACGCTTTACTTTTTCTCCTATAGCATCCCAAGATGCAGAGTTCCCAGCTGCTCTACCCCTTTCTAAAACCCCTGCAAAACCCTACTGGTTTTCCTCCTTCCCCTGATTTCCCCGCCTCCTAAGGCAGGGGAGCAAAGGAATTTCCCTCTACTTCCTGGCTATCCCTGAGACTCATAGCAATTAAGGCAAGGGTTTGGGGTTGGGGAGGGGAAGAATTCCCCTGACCTCCCCAGGGCTGACCAGAGCTGCAGGACCCTGGGCTGGGGTGAGGGGAAGGCGGGGGCCCAAGGCAGGAGCTCTCCAGTGCCCCCATGCTGGGCTGCACGGGCAAGCACCGGCTGGGAGGACTTCTCCCTTCCTCCTGTGGCAGCCACTGAAGCAATTAGCAATTTGGAAGGGGGAAGTGGGGCTCCACAGGGCTACCTGGGCTGGGGAACACAGGCTGGGGGAACCCTCCTGAAGGGGAGGCTTCCCCAAGGTGGGCCAGCACCTAGGCAGGGGACTCCTAAAGCCCCTGTGGGGAGGACATCAAGGGTTTGTGGACACTTGCTGTGCTGGCAATGGCAGCAGACAGGGAGATGTGCTCTTGTGCCCTCCTAGTGGACTCCAAGATCCCTTTCCGCTTCCGTGCCTCCAAGCAGGTAATTCCCTAGGCAGTAGGTATGCTGGACATTTTTCCTCCCTAGATGCAGCACTTTGCATTTCTCCTTGTTGAATTGCAGTCTGTTGTTTTCCATCCATATGTGCAACCTGTCTAGGTCTGCTTGTACCTGTTCCCTGCCCTCCGGTGTGTCCACTCCTCCCCAGTTTTGTGTCATCCGCAAACTTGGACAGAGTACACTTCACTCCCTCGTCCAAGTCGCTGATGAAGACATTGAAGAGTATTGGTCCAAGGACCGAGCCCTGCGGGACCCCACTGCCCACACCCTTCCAGGTCAATACCGACCCATCCACTACGACTCTCTGGGTACGACCCTCTAGCCAATTTGCCACTCACCGGCCTGTGTAGTCATCTAAGTCACAGCCTCTTAACTTGTTCACCAGTATGGGGTGGGATACCGTATCGAAGGCCTGTCCTTTCCGGATTTTATATTGCTACCCCTGGCACTCAGCTGAGCAGTGGGGAGACAGAAGAAGCTGAGAGTCAGGCTTGCAAGCCCAACTTGCTGTCCTGCTGAGGCTTCTTTTTCCCTCCTCTCCTGTCTATGCTGGTTGTAGGGGAAGGCATAGGGGAAGCTGCCCCCCACACCATCACCAGATTGGACCTTGGGAAGGCACAGGAGCCTTTCCCCCAGCTCCACTCCTCTTAGATCCCAAGAGGACTTAAACCAGGGGAAGGTGTGCACATGTCCTCTAACAGTGCAGACAGAAGTGACAATTTTTGCCTGCTCTGGCCTGAGAAAGCAGCCTATAGCCATAACCAAACACAAAAGTATAGCTGCAAACAGCTTCAAAAATGGCTGATTGGGTGAAAATCTGACCCCTCATTGCATGACGTATCAGATAAAGATTAGGGCTGTGCAAAATGGCACTGTTCCATTTCGACTTCAGTTCTGAGGTTTGGATGAAACAGTGTTTTGTTTTGAATTTTATTTCAAGTTGAAACACCTGTTCCATTTCGCTTAATTGAAACTGTAAGGCTGTTTCGATGTTCTGCCCGACCATCAGGCTAGGGAAAGGAACGCATCCACCATCGGGCTGGGGAAAGGAACCGAAATTGGGCAGCTTGACCATCATGCTGGGGAAAGGAACTCAGTCCAGCTGCGCTGAGTTCTAACCCCCAGCACCACAATCGAGCTGGGGAAACAAACCCCAGCCTAACCATCATGCTGGGGAAAGGAACTCAACTGGGCTGAGTTCATTTCCCCAGTTGGATCTAGTACGGGGATGGGAACTCAGCCCAGCTGCACTGACTTCCCATCCCCAGCCTGATTGTAGGGCTGGGGAGGGGAACTGAGTGATCAGGCTCAATTTCTTTCCCGAGCCCAATCGCAGTGCTTCTCAATTCCCTTCCCCTGTGCTGTGATCGGCTTCCTGCAGCCTGGTGGCAGGAGATGGGGAGAGGTAGGGCTGCGCTCCCGGTTGCTCCTGGGATCACAGCCCAGGTTCTCCCCTGTCTCCCACCACCTCGCTGCTGGCTGCTGCAAAACTCGAAACGTTTTGAAACTTTCAAAACATTTTGACTAGACTTTTTTTGTTTCAAGAATGTTATGAAGCCCTTTGTTTTGATTCTGTTCCACTGTTTTGAGCTCAAAATGAGTCAAAACAGTGTTGAATCGAAACAGCCAGCAAATTTCGCACAGCACTAATAAAGATGTTTCAAAATGTAACGTCTTCTGTAACTTGTGTCTGCTGAGCTACCAGCTTGTCAGTATTTTCAGAATGAGAGGGAGGAAATAGAGGAGAGGGAGTTCAGTCCAGGGTTTTTTCAGCCCCTCCACCCCCAGGAGGGTAGGGCCAGGGTACTAGACCCCCTCCCCCAAGGTTGGCAGGGGGGCTCCAATTCACCCATCCTACCCTTAAGCACCAGCTGGAGAGCTGCAAGAATGAGCTCCCTCCAACATCTCCGCCCCCCCCTCCCATTCTGAGAACAGTGAGCCCTGGCAGAGAGCTGTGGCCATTGCTATAAGAACCTGGCTGCAGGCTCCCAGCCACAGGTAGATTCCCCTTCCTCCTGGAACCAACAGTGAACTTTCATTTGGTCTGGTAACATTGCAACTCAGAGCACTTTGCAGAAAACCTTCTGAGTTGCAGCTGGGAGCTGCACTTCTGTCTGAACCTTTAGTGATTTAACCCTGGTTGTTCTTGGGTTATTTTTATCACAGTGTAACAGGAGGGCAGACAGGGTCGCCGTGCTTTCCCCTGCTGCCTCCTTTATCGTGTCAAGCTGCCGAATGGCACCCTCCAATTCTTGCCCGCCACGACTTTGATCTTATAGATATATTTTATAGGGAGGCTGCCTTTCGTCTTCTGGTCCACAGCTCTCCTGTTAACTTTAGTTTCTCTGCAGTAGTGAGTGTTCCGTACACTCCAGCCTTATGGGCTATGCGTGGCTCCAACCACCCCTGTACCACACCCCAAGCCTTGCAGATGTGCCTGATGTTGTTTGGTCTGTCTCTCTCCACGCCCTCTCTGGCACTCGGGCTCTCCGCAGCCCAGTCTCTCTCTCCCTGCACCCTCTCTGGTGCTCAGGCTCGCCACAGTCCTGGCTCCCTCTCTCTGGGGCCTTCTCAGCAATGCCACCCTCTCTCGGGGCCTTCTCAAGTGCTGCCCCCTTTTCTGGGGCTCACCACAATGCTGCCCCCTTCTCCAGGGCTCACCACACCTGCACTGGGGCTTCTCAGCTTGCCTCCTTCTCTGGGGCTTCTCAGCTGCCCCTCTCTGGGGCTGGGGTCTGTGCACCCCGAATGCTGCACCCTTGCTGGTGCTGGGGTTCCCACACTGCTGTGGGGCCCCTATGAGGCCTCCTCCAACCCCTAGTAGCCTCACCCAAACCACCGGTAACAAACAGCAACACAAACACAAGCCCCTGGGCTATAACACAAACACAAGCCATCTGGCTATAATCATGGTCAAGCTTACCGAGGTTTCTTCATCCCGCAGCAGTGTCAGACATTGCTCCTGTCTCCTGCTTCTCCTCTCTTCCATGACCGAGAGCTCCTTCCTCCTTGGCTGCTGGTAGAAAACGGCCTCCTGCCTGTGGTTTATATAGGAGCCAGGCCCTGCCCCTTCTTGTCAGCTGTCTAGGCAGGTGTGAGTCATTAGTTCCCTCAAGTTGCCTCAGCAACCAGCACCTGAGGGGTTATCCTGGCTCTCCAAGTAGCAGGCACCTTAGTGCCTTGCTACACCCAGGATGGCCACTTCTGCTCCAAGAGAAAAAGCTTGAATATCTGCAAACTTTTGTCTTCTACTCGGAGAACAGTAACTCTCCCAGGAGAAGCTGAATGTTTGTACTTGGCCAAGGTTTCTGTCCCAGGGGGACAGTCACCGGGGAACAGAAAGCCCTCCCCACATTGGAACTGGGGAAGGGGGTAACCTGCCCCTACATGAAAAACTCTGAAATCAGGGATTACTTACCAGGCTACTGGGCATGGGATGAGCTGCACCAGGAAGAAATGCCCACACGGTTTGTCAGCCATGCTTATTTCTGTCTGGAGCCAGCATGGGTGGATTACATCATTGACAAAGGCCACCTGGCCGGAATAAAAGCCGGCACTGAAGGAGAGGAGAGGGGAGCTGTGGAAGCAGCTGACAGGGAAGGAACTCTCCATGCCAGGCACAGGCAGAACCAGCGTGCAACACTGGATCTGGCTCCAGGAAGAGCAGGGGAAGTCCTCAGTGAGGGTGAAGACCTAGAGAAGCATAGAGGGACAAACCAAGCTTCAGGCACTGGGGCTGTGAGGGAGGAAGGGCTGGTAGCCTAACCCCCCAGCTTCCCTTCCCCCCCTCCCTTTCTTTTAAAGTGCCTATATCCTTTTTTTTTTGGTTTTTGTTTTACCATTTGTTTTCCTTTTTGGATGGGGCATGGGCAGCCCTAAAACCCCAGCAAGCAGCCAGTGGTCTGCCAGCATGACATCAAAAAGATCTGGGCACCCAGCCACCCCTGGAATCCATCGATGAGGAAAACCAATCAAAACCCAGATGGCATGAAGAACAGGCATCAGCTAGACCAGAGGGCAAGCCGCACCAAGATCAAGTGGCTCGTCCTGGAGGCTGTAATATGGAAGGGGGTTAAGGGAGGCAGAGCCCCATGGATATCCATCAGGAAGCGTGACCAAGCTAGGGGAGTCATCAACAGGGGAACCCACCACTGAAGGTCCAATCAAAGTCATTGCAGGCGAGTTTTGGGGCTTTCCCCAGGGTGATCGAGGACCCCTCCAGAGATCACACGAGCTCACACAGTGCCCGACACCAGGCATATGTGCCAAAGCAGCATGTGAATAGATATTCAAAACCAGGTGGTCACAGTTGCAACCATTTGGTTTAAGTGGGAGAGGACACAGAGGGTTGTAAATGAAGACGTTTTATCTGTGGCACTTGGTTCCCCTTTAATTAGTTGGAATCTATCTATGGCTTCAAGTATAAACTGCAAGGCCTACCTGCTGTTTCAACCTTCTAAAATGGGATTGGGCTAAAATAGTGTGTGGGGAGAGGTTATTGATAGTTTTGATAAAACATCCTGTTAGGTTAATTGGGAAACAAAATCTATAATGTCCTTATTGCTTTTGAGAGACTGATTAATATATAAGCCTAGACTATGAGCTTTTGGTAGATGCATCTTTTAAAAAAAGCCCTTAATAAATAATTAAATTAAAATGTTTTTACAAAGAAGTGCAAATGTTTCTCTAACATTTACTGGTTTATAAATAAGGAGGAAGGCTACAGACAGTATGTGGTTTGCATATCCTAATTATCTATCTAATGAGTAAAGTTCCTTGTTATTTAAGTCCACATATTATTTAAAAATAATTGAAAATGTTCTCATCAGCCCAGAATTGAGATTATTTCCTCATAATGGGAATAAGTGGGAGGCTTAGATAGAGGTTCAAACAGAATCTCTCAGCTCTGTGAAGTTTTTCCTGGAAAGTGGTTTCACTAGGTTTTATGCTATTTCTCAGTTTTTCTAACAGTGATTCCTGAGGACATACTTATCATGCTAAAGGGCTCATGGGATGTCTTGCATGATTTCTTGAGTTTGTTTTGCTGATATGGCACATATAGTTTTTGTAGATAGGTAATGTCCAGATGCATTTACCCATATCATCCTTATGTTTATATATATTGTGATATTTGATATAAAATGTATTACTTATATGTTATAAAAAGGCCAGGACTGCACAATACAATAATGACTTTCAAGTGATAAATAATGAGTTTCTTTGGAACCTAAGGAGAGTCTGAAAAGCAGTAATCAACATCTGACAGGAGTGTGTTTACTCATGAAGAGGACTCCCAGACAATGATAAATTTACATTTAAAAAAGAGAAACCCTACAATGTGCAACAACTAGAAACGGGAGGAAATTGAGAGGTAGCATCTAGGGATATTAGATTAAAATTGTCCATATCTGAAAGGATGCACATATTCTCCTGGTCTTAATTAAATCAGGAAAAAAAAATTATGCTGGTAAACATATATCATTGGAGAGTTGCAGGAAGATATATGCATAGTGTGGGCACCCCAAAAATTGAAGAAGTAACATATGCAAATAAATAGCAACTGTACTAAAGCCTGCCCCAAGAGCATGGTTTCTCCTTCAGTTTTTTTCCCATGGCATAGGTAGATACTGGAGCCCCTCAGCAACAAAGCTGGGTCAGAACTGTGATACTAGAGCCCCTCAGCTAGAAGGATGACTCAAAACTGCATTCTTGGATTTTAGGTGCAGGGTTAAAACAGGCTATTGATCTGATGTTTTATTTTATTTTTTTTATTCTAATGTCTCTGTCTATATCTTGACATATGGTTACTGATTTCTTATGCTTGTTTATATTTTTCTAATAATTCCTAATTTTGTTATCTTTTTAATGTACTAATTGGCTAAGTACAGACATGACATTTTTTCTGGTGTAAGCAGTCAGAAACTGGTCCAGGCTTGTAATAGAACAGAAGTTTGGGGCACAGAGTGTTTTAAAATTCAATCTAAGATAGACCTGGATCAATGTAGTATCGGACTTACTCAAACTAGGTTACACCGATTTATCAAATGTCAGTGCCAGGTCTGTTCTTGAATCAAGATAGGTCTCTGTCCTTAAGACAGCTGATAGCTGCCTGATAGAGGGCAGGGCAGTAGTGGAGGTATATTCCTGACAGCCAATGAGAGGTTGTCCCAGCTCAGTTGTAATCGTTGCCCTTAGCAATAAGCACAGACAGTCTGTGCAAGTCAGACTAAAGCTGAATTGATTCAGTCTTTTCAGGTTAGTCTAAGCTGCAGATATTGAACAAATAATCAAATGAACAGACATTCACTTTCCATTCAGGAAATGCAGCCACATGCCTGCAGTGGCTCAGACCAGAACCCAGAGGGTGCAAGCACATAGCCGGTATGGCACATAGCCGGTATGGGTCATGTATTTGCTTCCTCTTTCTGTTGCCCCCAAGCTACAATCTGTTGCCCCCAATCTCCCTGGGATTTCCAGTCTACATTCATAGTAGCAGGACTCTGCAGGGTTGCTCATCACTTCCTGTTCCTGCTTCCAGGTGCCTCTGGGATTTGTAGTCCACAGTCACAGTAAGCAGTAAGTTTAGCAGGGCAGGGCAGCTCTGTATTTGGAAGAAGGGAAGTTGACCCCCTACTCCCCCTCTTCCTGGGCCCAGACACCAGCTGAAATTTTCCTGGGGGGCAGGAGGAGAGGGGCAGTGAGCCAGCCCTCACTGTTCTAGCTATAGATCAGATACATGGGGCCAGCCCTGTCTCTGAAGCAGACAGCATGGCACAGCCAAGGACTGCAAAATTCTGGGATGCTGGAGGACTGTGATTTAACTTGAATGGGAAGGGGTCTGAGACAGAAGTTTCATAAACTGGTTTGACCCAAGTCAGTTAAGTTTGATAGTACATTCAGCCACGTTTATCCTAAATTAGTTTCAGCCATTTTGAAACTGGTTTGTGTGCAGTGAATTTCTATTCTATTACAGGTTTAAACCAGTTTCTGATCACTTAAACTGGTTTATGTGTAACTTCTGCCCCTAGCCTATAAAGTCAAACTAGCAGGGGGAAAAAATAACACTTTTGCTTCTCCTAATTTTTCTTGTTTGTTTTAAGCAGATTAGAGTTTAGATAGTGTATATGCTTCCCAGCTTCTAACTCCCCAATAGTTGCCTTCTACACACATTCACCTGTTGCTTTCCCCTGACTTAAAAAAAAAATGGAATAGGAAGTAGTACTTCTGCTCATGAGAGACAATTCTGGAAGCAATCACAAGATCTACTACTAGAGAGCATGGAACATGGTATAGAAATGTGTAATACAGGATCATTCAGTGTAAACAGGAATTAAACTTTGGTATATTGGGTATGTTAATCATTATCTAAATGGCAGTGTCACAATAATGCAGCTGGAATAAGCTTGAAGAAAGAGAAGTCCATCTACCATTAAAGTGGTTATTGATTGAAGGTTAATGTTGTGTGCCTAAAAGATCACTCTGCATCAAGCGCAGAATTGAATGACTAACTAAACTGCTTGGGTGGATGTCCATTTTACTCGGTATAGGATATGAACATTGATTGTTTAGAGCAATATCCAGAATCTAAAAAAGTTTTAGCCTATTGACTGGAAATAGCCATGTATACTCACACCCCGAAAACGGAAATTAATATTTACTTACATTGCCTTCTTTGAGATTGTGAATTTTCTCTATGGTAAAGTTTTTAATAAGATTTCAGCCTGAAGGCTTGAATTTGATCTAATGTCCCTTTTGTGCCAAGATATTGGTGGGGGAGGGGGCGTTCCCAGTGGCTGCTTGTGGCATGGAGGTGGCGCAGTGGTGGCGGAAGTACCAGCACTTCCACAAGGTCTTGTCAGTCCTTTGACTGTACTGATATCGTACTTCTGCGAGCGATGTTCCACCAGTGGAGCCAATTTCGGTGGGGGGCACGAGCGATCTCCGTGCTCCCCTATCAGCCAGAGTGCTTGCTTTCAGGGGGCACCAGCACTCTCGGGGGGAGG